TGACACGGGTTCGATGTCTGCTTGTGTTAATCTTGAAGATAATTGATGGGGTTGAATAATTTTGCAAGATGATTTTGCTCCACAGTTTAGTTCAGAAATCTATGGGTCAACTTGTATTATGAATATTTAAAGAAACACTCCTTAATATATCCTAATGTTGTAGTTGCATACATAATTTTTTTGACCATTCATGTGACGATTGCATATGTGGAAATAAGGTTTTCTAAACTCAAGTTGTTGAAGTCCTACTTGCGTTCTACCATGACACAAGAAAGACTCAATGGATTAGCGACAATAGTACTTGAAAAGGATGTCCTAGAAAAGATTAAGTATGAAGATATGATTGAAGATATCATTTCAAGAGATACTAGACTGATTCTTCTTTTTCGTAGAACATGAGGTTAGTTAATTGTTTTAATGCCCTTCTACTAATTTTTTAGAAATAATTTAGATACATGTCTAAATATTGTACAAAATAAAATAAACTTGTAATTATATAATAAAGTGATAGTATGCTTTAGGTACATATGTTCTTTAGTTATATGATTTAAAAAAATGGACCAAATTATGATTTTTGCCCTCGGGCCTCGAATTTCTGGAGATGACCATCATTATGGGTGGACAAAGATTAGAGACCATGTTGGCTATGGACCAAACAACTTGAGTAAACTTGCATTAAAAACATATGTTTGATCAACTCATTGTGAGGGCAACATGTACTACCTTGGACCTTCACTTGTAATGATATTTTGATCATTTTTTAAAATTCGTAGGGGCGTCGCAATTGACATGCTAGAATATGGCAACTTCATGTCGAACTTTCCTTCTGTTTCATATTGTGTGACACTGATCAAGTCTTTTCTAAAGTTGAATGGGCTCCTTTCAAGAACAAAGGGTGCTAAGTTTCCTTCTAAGGGATCCATAGATGTCGGTTCCCCTCGCCTTTGGGTGCCTTCTAGCACCGACGAGGTGGGGGGACCTTGGTCTGGGTTGTCTCTATAGTCTCTAGTCATCTGAGCTTTAATTTGAGTTAAGTCTTAGGTGTCTAGCTGGCGGTGATGAAGCGATGTTGCCATTGGCGATGATGAAGCGATGTTGCCATTGGCGATGATAAATAAAGTCATGTCCATCATGTGTGGAGCTTCAGGCAAGGGCATCATTTTTTTGTATTGTCTACTGATCGATGGCGTCCTACATAGGTCATGGTGTTGTGGCGTGTTTTTGCTCTCTGGTTCCTTCCCCATTCGATGGAGCTTAGCCAGGTTGAGCTCCTTCGGGGAACTGACGAGATTTGTGTTTTCCTCCTTTGTCTGACTAAAGTTGGGCTTAATTTCTGGACCAGTTAAGTGTCAGGTTCTCCAAGATGGTGACCTGTCCAGGTCATGATCGTTGATGCCTTCTGGTCTATATCGACGACTTCCTGATGGGTTTCAACAAGACTGCTTCACTGAGACATTGGCCTGGAGTCAGCAACGAGCTTTGCTATGCATAAGGGAGACAACACTGATTTCTTCAAAGACTTGTCCATAATTTTTTATTCTCATAAGGAAGGTTTTGTGAGGTTTGATTTTTTTTCATAATATATGGCCTTCAGACTTCTCGAGAAAACATAAATCTGAATGGGCTCCAAGCGACATGGCAAAGTTACATGTAGCTAAACGCCTTCAAGTTGGAAAACAGCCTAAGATGCGTTCAAAGTTCAAACAAGGGAGTGCCTAGGGATTAGTTGACTGAATTTAAATTTCGGACCAGACACTTTTCCCCCACAACTGGCTAGATACGGGCGGAGCTACGCGAGTGGAAAAGCATCCCGCCCAGCCCATGCAGAAAAGTTCATATGTGTAGTCCAACACACTGCATGCAACACCTTATATCCTTGGCTTCTCTTTCAGGTAAGCTAAACTACGTACTAAAGCTAGCTAGCTTCAAACCAACTCCCTCCCTCTACGAGTCTACGTATGTATCAGTATCTGGTTAGCAGCATGAACAAAGAACGACATACTCTATAGATACACGAATGTGCTAAAAATCTTATCTAAAGTAGTATTGTTTTTCAAGCTAAAATACTGTAATACGACAAAAACCAAGTAAGTATCAACAAATAAAGACATATACCCCACAAAAAAGACACATACTAAAAAAACAGAAACTCAAACTCTTGCAACCAAAATACAGAAGCCCACCAAATTCTTGGGCTTAGTTAACATAACATAAACTGAACTAGGAGGAATATAATAGGGAAATTTCCCCAAAAAAGAATACTTCTAAAAAGGAATAAATTAGTGTCATTGGTATTACCCTTTAAGAAAAAAAAGGAAAAACATTCGAAACAATGAAGATCTATAAGAAAAAAAGGAATTAGTAGCTTTGTTATTTACTTTCCAGAACGAAGAAAATTTTAAAAATCGTAATCAAAATATTTAGTTTTTCTATTGTTGAATTAGTGGCATTGGTATTAGCTTTTAAGAAGAAAGAATACATAGAAAAAACTAATACAAACAATGACAAAATTTCCACACTATATACAAAAAAGTGCACTTTTTTAAATATGCAAGAACAGGAATATTATTGTGTAATTACTGACATTGGTATTACCATTAAAGATACCTAAAATAAAATGATAATAAAATCAAAATTATAAATTTTTCTAAGGAAGAACGAATTAGTGGCATTGTTATTGCCCTTTAAGAAAATGAATAAAAGTCTAAAGCAAACAATGACAAAATTTACACAAAATTTACACAAAAATTGCTATTTTTAAAATATGCCTGAATAAATATATGATAGTAGAATTTTTGCAGAACCTAAGTTTCCTATGAAGGAATGAATTAGTGGCATTGGTGTCACCCTTAAAAAAGAGAATAAAAATTAAAAGAAAACTAAAACAAGATTTAAATAACTGTTTTTATAAAATAAGAATGAATTAGTATTGGTATTACCCCTTAAGAAGAAATAAAATGAAAAAAAATAACATAAACTTGCACACAACTTTACACTGAATTGCATTTTTTAATATGCAAATATTAATCATATAATAATGCAATTTTGGCACATATTGTACAGTATTCGTGTGTATATATTTACACTCACGCAACATTTCGAAAACTAGATGATACCCTGCATGTTGTTGCGGGGATATTTTGCAATATTTCAGTGTGATTCGTTGCATGATACATGCATATTTGAAGTAATAATATAAAAAGCTCAAACTGAAAATACATATAATTTATTATGTTTGATTACTATATAATTGTAATTTTTTTATTAATTATAAATAGCATAATAGAATGAAATTTCTTATGTATGTTTGGATGTTGAGATGAGTCTTTTTTTCATGCATGTTTAATAATGAAGTGGCATGCTTGCATGTAGAGAAATATGATAGTGGGGGTGGACATTTTCTCATGCATGTTGTGGGACGATATGGTATGCTTGCATGTTGAGAGAAATAGTTAGTGAAGGCTAGCTATTTAGATATAGAAGATAGAAGATAAGCACAAAAAAATATAAAAACAAACTAATAAACGAAAATAAAAAATAAAAGCAAAAACAGATAATAACAGAAAAACAAATGGACAAGGGGGTTGGTGGGTCGCTCCTAGTAATGGGCATCAGCCTATTAAGAAATCGACTGACCAAAATATATGTTCAGTCCATTTAGCACAAACCAAACACTTGAGAGAACATACCAGAAAAAAAAAAGCATGAACCACAAAGCAAGATCAATGGCACACAAAACCGACTGCTCCAAAATAAAATTTCAGTCGGCTTACAGAAGTTGATCAATGGCACCTAAATTGAACATAACCGAAGTTGATCATCGACGAAACTATTCCCTTCTTTTCGGTTTATAGGGCTTATCTCAAAATTTAACTTTTTCTATTTTGTAAGGCTCAATTTGGTTGTTCCCCATCACAAGTTTAAATTTCAAGGTGTATTAAATTATTGCATGCAAGTAAGAGAAAATTGACCAATGCATATACTTTATGCATGCATGCATTGTAATTAATGCATTGATAAACATAATTTTTTAAGAAAAACAAAAGCATTAATTAGGTGTTTTTGCATACTACAAAAGGTATTCTACCACTCACCATCTATCTTAGTTGATGAGATTTCTGAATTGAGCCTTATAAACTAGAAAATAGGGAGTATTCCACTCCAGGGCAGAAGCTTTCATGTGGAAATCGAAGAGCTAAACATAACTGCTAGGCCGACTCTTCGCCCCGTGCGTTCCGTCCGTCGTTTCCGCTTCAGAGCAAGTACAATAGAGCTGAATCAGCGGGCTATAAAAAATAAACTAGTATATTTCTGCTTACTTGGAAGAAAGAGAAGAGAAGAGAGAAGGTAAGCGGGCTCTTCGTGAAGAGCCAGCTCTAGCACGTGCTCCTAGGCGCTTTGTGAGAATGAAAGGTGTGCCACATAATTAAAAAATAATACATTTTTTGATCTACTATTGTACATATTAGCTAAGATAGGTTGTAAATGACATGGCACTGGCTTATAGCCAGCAGGTGGCTATACTACTAAGAGGGTGTTTGGATCCAAGGAACTATTTTTAGTCTGACTAAAAATAGTCTCTTTTAGAGGCTAAAGTTCCAAGCACCCCTGACTAAAGAGAGGCTAGGACTAGTCTTGAGGCTAAAATTTTTTAGTCATAAGAAACCTATTAAAATATGTATTAGCCCTCTCTCTCATCATTTAATGTCTCTCCTTTAACACATGCGAGTTCTGAATTGGAGGGTTTGAAGAATAATAAATGCTCAATAACTTAATTTTAGTCTCTTTAGTATTTGAAACATGGGTAAGGCTAGCAAGTTTTAGTCCCACTACTTTTAGTCATGGGACTAAAATGTATCAAGCACCATCTAACCATGCTCTCAGACTCGTGACATCTCGTGAACTTTCCGAATCCATAGCATGTAGCAGTAGCATATTTAAGCCCCAAGGCGCCACTCTGCAGGCCAGAGCACGCATCCCCATCGATCACCATCTCTACCATGGCGACGGAAGAAGAACCGACGGTCGACGTGAAGCTTTTCGTGGACAAGGAGAAGAACAAGGTCCTCTTCGCGGAGTCCGGCAAGGAGTTCGTCAACGTGCTCTTCGGCTTCCTCACGCTGCCTCTCGGCACCGTCGTTCGCCTCCTCGGCAAGCAGTCCCAGGTCGGATGCCTCGACGAGATCTACAAGAGCGTGGAGGAGCTCTCCAACGACTTCTTCAGAACCGAGGCCTGCAAGGCGATGCTGCTTAGGCCCATCAGCGCTGCGGCGAAGCAATGCTGCGACCTCAAGGTCAGAGTCGAAGACACCAAGCACAGGGAGGTCTATGTTTGCGGCGACACGAGCTGCTGCGCGAAGGCCGACGGCTCGTTTAGCTCGGTCCCCGGCGCTGCCTGCAAATGCGGCAAAGTCATGGGGCAGATCCCTGGAGAGTGGCCGGAGAATTGTGATATCACTTCTGCTACTGGTTCTGCAGATGGAGTTTTTGTCAAAGGATGCTTGAAGTTTATCGTGACTGATGATCTCCAAGTAGCACCAGCCTCAACTTCTCTCATGTTGTCACTTTTTAAGAAGTTTGGGGTGGAGGATCCCTCCCGTCTTGCAGAGGATGATCCAGCTCAGTTCAGTCGAGGTTTGTCATCCAAACTCAGTTTTTTTTAGCTAATTATTCCAATTATTCTTTTATAAAACTCGGCAATATTCCGTGTATTGGTCTTATAATCCCTTTTTACTTTTACAGATGACTAACTTGCTCAAGAGATCATTGACGTCGAAGCAGCCTTTAACTGGTCACTGTTTTGATGTTGCCATCTCAAATGATGTTTCAGCCCTAGAGATGCTACTGGAGAGTTTACATCCTAAGCAGGGACATGATGCTGAGCATGAGTTGGACAATGTGAGGATAAGAGTTCTTCGGACGAACAGCTCATCGCTGCTCTATGCTGAAGTTAATGACGATTTCGTCGAGCTCCTATTTGGCTTCCTGACCGTACCACTGGGATCCATCATTAAGACTTATGGTTCATGGCCATCAATTGGATGCATCGCTAATCTGTACAGTAGGATAGATGGAAGTGCTAAAGGATGCATCAGAGAACCATGCCAGTGCTTGCTACTATCACCAAAGCTGGCACCTTTCTTTACTTCTGAAGCTACTAAGATAGTGCAAGCTGAAGAATCAGCTCAAAGGAAGCAACAAATTAAGGCATGCTTCAAGTGCATAAAGACATTAGGTTTTCCCAAGCATGTCAACTGTCACGCGAAAGATCGACATGGCAATTATGTGAATTGCCGTGACACTGTAAAGACCACAAACCTCTGTGAATGTGATCCGAAATCCCCAAAGGGAGGAAGTGACAAGGGTAAAGGGTATGTCAAGCAAGGCCCTCAGAACTTCATGGTGACTGATAATCTGCATGTTCTTCCACTATCCTTGGAGAACACTATACAAGTTGTTTGTGAGGCCAAGATTCAGTCAAATGATCTTGCGGAGAAAGAATTCAGCCTCGCAAAATCTCAGGTTACTATCTTTGCCAAAAATGTTCTGCCATGTTGTTATCCTTTGATTTGCAAACAGTAGGTGGTATTGTTGATTTTTTTATTGTAGCTGACGGAGCTACTGAAAGCCGCCTAGGTGACTCCCAAAGCTCTCAGCTCGGTGCTTCTGCCTCCGAAGAACAAGAAGAAGCTACCTCACCTCAGCTCCGGCCTATATTAGGAAGGACTATTTATTTTGTGATTCCCCTTGTTCAGCTTGGGCTCTGAAAATTCGTATGCTAAATCGTACTTGTATGTCCTAATTCCCCTCCTTGAACTTGAACTTTTAAGATATTTTGAACAATGTGGTGTCACCAAATTTCTTCTGAAAATGGAAGTTTTTATACATTGTAAGTCAACACGTATACCCACTTTTAAGGTCGGGTTCCACATCTATATCAGCGAGGCCACCAACATCTCAAGAACTGCTTTGTGTCATGCGACTTCATTTCGATTAGTTTATCGACCATCCTTTGTTTTCCCTTCCCTTGTGATCCTTCTTTTAGTTTTGGTTTAGGGATAGGCCAGGAGAAGGGGTCATGTCATCCTGACTCCTGAGATCCATTGTTGATGAGGTGTTTGGTCGGTGGGTTCTGGGCGACGTGTTCCGTTTCGATTTGGTGGATTTTGGGTTTATGGTTATTGTGCTGATGCGGGGGTGCTATGGTTCGTTCTGGCGCTGTGACCTGTCTCTTTATTGGTGGTGATGTCTCATGGTTTTTCTATTGTTGTGTTGCTCTGCATTTGTTGGTCGGAGCTTTCGATTTCGTTGTTCCTCTGTTGGCCATGCCTTTGTTCTTGTGGATGTGGCTGACCCGTGCTCTGCTAATACAAGGAACACTGACGTAATCTTAGGACGATCCATCCACTTAGAAACAATAGCCACAACATTATATAAACACACTAAAAATAAGTGAGATTTCTAGAGACGCTCGGAGGCAAACGGCGAAGCGCACATACGCTTCTAGTACAAAGTATAATATGAAGCCACTGTATACATAAGTACTTCCTCCGTCCCATAATATAAGAACGTTTGTGTCAAAAACGTTCTTATATTATGGGACGGATGGAGTACATAACATGCACAATAGAGTTGATAATCATTTTTAAAAACAACAAATGTCATTAGGACAAAGCCATACAGCCCAACATAGAGCGGATGCTCCAGTTAGGACCAAATCCCGCAACCTATTTGACACGCAGCTCAACCAATTACCATATATGTATCTGCAAATGCTTCGAGGTGCAGGTAAGTTGGATGTTACTCCCTCCATAAAAAAATATAAAAACGTTTAGATCACTAATTAAGGAATACCTGATAAGAGTGGACACTGTCTGGGCCGGTCCGGTCATTGACCAAGCTGCCGTTTGGATTGGACCGGATGGACCAGGTTGGCGGCCCTGTTGTTTTAAGGGACCGGACCAAAGACACTCCAACCTGGGTTGGATCGAGAAGATCGAATGTGGCCAGCATAGAGCATGGCAATGCAGGGAGCGCGCTGGAGGAAGCAAGCCTCATTATGGAGGTGTCCGGCGGTTCCGGACCACTCAAATCCTCCCAAAACGTTTGAGCAGACAACCTGGTCACTACCTGAACAGGAGAGAAAAGGCAAAAGACCACCCAACCGGATCCCTGCTCTGTCTGGGTTGTTCACAAATCCCCATATTCGGTTATGGGGAGGAAATGGGGATGTCCGAAAATGTTCGTGATAGGCTCGACGGAGGATGTTATCTAGCCTGAAGGAACTACTCACACATGGTCATGGAGGCAACATGGTGATGAAGAAGCCTCTAGTGATGGATACCCCCTCTGCAGAGTACCAGAATAGGCCTCCAGATCGATCTCCTCGAAACAGAAACATGTGGGGGCGGAAAAAATTGGAGAAAAATCACTCGCAGAGTTTCGCAAAATATGGAATTTATAGAAGGGAGAATGGACGGAAGGCAGTGACCAAGGGCACATGGCCTACCCACACGGGTAACCCCTGGGCACGTGGGGCCCTGGCTAGCCCCCGGTAAGTCCTAGCACTTTCTGGAATCATGTGGCCATGAAAAGAATCTTATTAAATCCTTAAGGTTCTTTTTACCTACATAGATATGGATTTTCTAAAAAACCAAAAACATGCAGAAAACAACTACCTCTGAGCACTGAGTTAATAGGTTCATCCAGAAAAATAATATAAAATATTATAAAAAGTATTCAAAAGTGAAATCTACCATCCTTAAGAAGTTGCTCCCCACTACTCTCTATTCTCTCACCATGCACAATATCCATATCAGCGATGTGCCACGTCATATTCAGTTTCCAAAAGCACCCAATCAATCTTACTTCCCTGCTGTCACGGCGGTGAAAAAAAACCCTGTTTTTTCCCTCACCCGCAGCCGCGCATCCCGCATTGCGCTCGCTCCACCTTCCTCAACTCACCTTCCAAGAACGGTAGCACCAACGCAGCCGCCCGTTCGTGTTCCCCTTCCACTTCCACTTTTTAATTCCCAACCAGTCCAGCCTCGTCCGCTCCTTCTTATTGGTTCACATATCTGACACTGGTACAAGAAGCCGGCTCCAAGATTGCCATCCACGCCAGATCGGCGGCTGCTAGCACTGCGCCCAGCAGCCACTGCTCGGCTCCCTTCCACCTGCCGCCGCTCGACGAATTCGAGGGGGGTGAGAAGGATAAGGCATGTGGCGGCTATGAAGGATAGAGAAGCAGGGGATCATGGCGTAGTGTGGCAGAGGCAATGAAGCTAGATGGGACAAATCTCTAATGTATCAGGTTTGTCCAGAACACCCTCCGCCCCTCCAATCCTCATCTATTGTCTTGCTGCTATACCACTAATTTTGGATACGATGCCATATTCTCATACGTTTGTTGCTTTGTTCATACAAGGGTGAATACATTCACTGCTATGGAACCGTGTATATAAATTTGTTGCATTCCCTTGCATCTAGCGAAAACTCTGAATTCCCATTGACTCGAGTAACTGCATGCACCCAGATCTGAATTCTGGTTGGATTCAGTGAAAACATGCAGTTCTTAAGATTCCTGTATATCTCATTTAGACTTGAGATGGATAATTCTTATGATTCTCCATGTAACAGTTCCCTCTGTGGTACAATTTAATTATTGTTGTATTATCTTCAAACCCAATGGTTACAACTTACAACCTTATTGTCCTTTGTTTTAGGGTTCAGCATAAGCATCTGGTAAATTAGATATGAATGAGTTTCTTTTTTGATTTTTCAGGGTCCTTACTTGCTGGCATGCAAATCAATTATTTGCCAAAATTTCATACTAAAGTGGGCGAAAGTTTTTCACATGGTTGTTTGTTAGCGGTAAATTAAATATTGTATCATTTCAGCCAAGACTATAGAGGCAAGTAATTTGATTGCTAGATATATCTACACATGGAATTATAAGGTGGACCGTTTATGTATATGAACATGTGTTCCTCTTTTGTCATAGATAATTATCTTAAAATGGACACACTGATTAGGTTTTTGTCATCCGTTTTAGTTTACTGTTTGTGGCTTTTATGGTTGTCACATGTTGGCCGGACAACAGTTTCATACTTTGTTGCTATATAGGATTCCTTATGCTTGAATTGTGGTCTCTAGAACTATTCCGCTAGATTTGGTACATACGTTCCGTGTCGATCTGGTACCCAAATCTGAAAATTTGTACGTAATAACTTATTCCCCTCACCATTTATATCTTTTGAATCCATCGATATCTTTATCACTAATGTTGTCCCCCTGTTCTTTTCTTCGTATCCAAGAGTCAAGAACATACTCATGGGACATTCACAATATATGCTAATGACCACCAAATTTCACCTCCATCAACAATGTTGTAAATCAAGAAAATAAATATATTCTAGGATCTGAGTTCTCATACATCGTGTGCATGTCGTGGAAGCAATCTTAACGAGTCTCAGCCCATGAAGTGGCGTGGTTGCGAAGAATGACAGGACTGAACATCCGATGGCCGTCATACGATCTGGTAGGTCTATGCCTGATCCTGCTTCTTCTATCTTTCTTTCTTTGACAGAGACTAAAACATTTAAATTTCTATATGTTTCCTTATGAGCATAAATATATATTGTTGTACATTATTTCTTTCATTATATTGGTGCATAACTTTATGTCTTCCTTGGTCAGAAACTACTTTGATCTAGCAGCAACAACTGTATTGTTCGATATTTGGATTAATCGAACGCCTAGGAAATGCATGATATGATGACTTAAACAAGCTGGTAAGTAACGTATTTGTGCAGGGTAAATATTCTCGATGTTTAAATCCGTGACATTGTCTATTAACATGTTGAACCCAACTATGGTCTTGAGGTTTGTTCCAAGATCATGCAGTTGTCGTTCTCTGTCAATTTACTGTTGTTACTAATACATGTTTCTTCTTCAATACTAATATTGTCAGCCATCATTTCTTGCCTATTAGGAAAACATATATATCTTGCAATGGAAAAGATTTTTTTTTTGTTTCATTTTTTAAGTCTGCTGAATACATACCAAATGAGTTGAGCTCAGGATTTCCCCTGCTAAATTTGTCGTTATATCTCTTTTTCCCTCCTCCGCCTATCTTCCAATTTTTATCTGTCCACTTATTTACAATAAGCCATAAAGCCTATGAATAATTCACACTGTTAGAGAAAGCTTGAAGCAATGACCTGTCATCCATGTATTTTTTTGCACGATGTACATATAGTCTTTGAGGCTAGCAGAAGTGCGGAACTTTGAGAGAAGGCTTGAAGCAAGGATGCATGTAGACCTACCAAACATGTATTTTTTGCAAGATGTAGCCTTTAAGGCTAGCAGAATCTTCAGATGTCCATTTTTTGTATATAGTGATATCTGATGATATATTGATTGATTGCTCTCTATTGGCCAAATTATGGATGTAGTTCCACATGTTTGTCAGACTTGGAAAAACTACAAAATTTGTTGTTGTATAATAATAATAATTATAGTTACTGAAAAGTATTTGTCAGTACTTGCTCTCCATTTGACATGTTTCATGCTTCCACGCTTAGAAAAAGAATAAGGTACAAGTTAGCACACTAATGTTATCGCAAACAAATGTCCGGCCACAACGCGCGGGGTATCATCTAGTTATAATAGTATGACATAATAAAAAAATTACAGATACATTTGAGATGTATCAATCTAGAACTTATACTTCACCCCAAGACCGCTATCGAACATGCATATCGAAGTATTAAGTTTACATTAAACAAAGCATTGCAATAAGTATGATGACATAATGTAGAGAATAAAACTATCATGTAAGTGTAATAAAGAAACCATCATTTATCCTTAAGTGACAACAATACAATACGTGTTCAATTCCTTATTGTCACTGGGGTCAAATTCACCCCAAGATTGTACCCACTATCATGCACAACTTCCTTTGAAGAACTAGCTATCAATCTTGGCCAGAGACGATAAATAGATAGGAACATACATGGCTACTTAATTATGCAACAAAGAAATTTCAAAATATTCAATATAATTCAACGAACAATCAATCATAAAGTGACAACTCATCATATCCCAACAAACATAACCATCGATTAAATCATAGTAACCCCCGGTCATTTGAGGCAGCTCACGTGAACTTTGTATTGAATCGCAAGGGAGAGAGGATGCTCTGTAGCTACTGGTATGGACCCTAAGGTCATAAGGAAACTACTCATACATGTTCATGGTGGCTGCAAAGTGATGAAGATGACTCCAAAACAAGCCTGCAGATTGGATCTACACGGAATAGGAACATGCAGCACCGAAAAAATATCAAAAAAATGGTATGGAGGGTTTTGAGAAAATTGGATTAATGGCAAAGGAATCAACATAAGGCGGGGCTAGGGGGCCCACACGGCCACCTCATGTGAGTAGGCCCCTGGAAAAAATAATAAAATTGTAATAAAAATTATTCAAAAGTCATATTATAATTGTATGAAACAATTAAAAATTATAAATACGTTTGAGACGTTTAACCAGGCTTGGATTGAAAGGAGAAACATTTTACTCCTACCATGGTGTGGGCAGGTTGTGGTGTTTTAGACATGGCCGGGGAGGCGACAACCTCGGATAGTGGTCCACATGGTTGGCTCTCTGGCGGGTACCATGACGGAGGTGGTGGCTTTCCCTCATGGTTGCGTGGGCGGCAGGAGGTGAAGCGACGGATGGCTCGGATGCTCTCTCTCTATGGCAGCGTGCCCCAATCCGATCTGAAGTTCTGATCTTGTCATGCTTGTCCTGTAGGCCTTGTCGTGGCACAGGGAGCTGCCGAGCGAAAGATTCACGCTTTGTCGCCGATGATGGCGACACTCGAGGGCGCTGATCTCTTCTTGAAGACGTTGTTATGGTGCTCCTCTCTGTGGTTGGGTTTCAGGTGAAAACCTTTGTCTGTTGTGGACTCAACATCGGTGATTCTTTGCGCCGTTCTCCCTCCCGGGGGCGTTGTCGAGAAGCTTAGGTGTTATGGGGTGTAGCGCGGAGTTGTAAGCAGTCCTTCATGTACTTTTTCCCAGGATCCTCTGTAATCAGGCTATCTTGGGTTCGACATGGTATAAGGGCTTCCTCACCATCTTGTATCATTTGGCCGTGTATTTTATTTGGTTGGGCAAAAACTTCTTTCGAGAATATGGTTTCCATTCATGTATTAAAAAATACCGACTATTTTATCTATACCTCGCTTCACCGCCATCAAAGCTCAATGGAATTCTCTACCATTGGAATGGTCCAGATCCCTTAGTCCCCTACTCCCTTTCATTAGTGTTTGCTCCAATTGATCCATAGATTATCCAATGAATGAATATCACTACTGAATATCTCATTTCTTTAAATATTTAAATTTCAATTAGCAGACACTTTACAAAAGTAGACTAATCCAGGCATAAGCTACTAAGATCACATGACTTAAGGTTTCAAATTTCAATCCATTGGCAGATTAAATTTTTAGCTGAATGTAACATATGTCGGCCATTGTCTTATACTCCCTCTGTCCCAAAATTCTTGTCTTAAATTTGTCTAGATACAAATGTATCTAATATTAAAACGTGAGTGATACATTCTTATTTAGACAAATCTAAGACAAGAATTTTGAGACGGAGGGAGTATATAATTGATTTTCTTTAAAACCTGAAGTGTAGTAGCGCAAATAGCATGTATCTTGTCCCCTCTGTTTGAAAAAAAAAACAAGAGAAGCATCTGCTGCTTTAAAATAAACCCTTCAAAAGAAATCTGTGAAGGACCATTCTAGAATTATATCTAGATGGAATCGATTCACCTTTCCTTCCACAAAAATTTGAGCTAAGATTTGTAAGTTCACTAATGTAGTACAATCTACTTTTCCTGTGGGCAATTTCGACCAATTGTTTGCATCTATGTAAGGTCTAAACCATTCCAGATGATGGTTGGCTACATCATGACAACACTCTGCATTTCTCTCCACTCCTCTCAACCAACAGAAAGAGTTGTTTTCGGTGGACAATGTTTCGGTGCCTTAAGACACCTGCCTTTGTGTTTATGACATGTGGAACCAACAGATAGCTGGTCTACATGTCAGTGACCCAAAGACAGGTGCCTTTAAGGCACCGAAGCTGTGTCCGTTTTCAGTGCACTGTTCACAGAATGAAATTTTTACTATATATATCTGTATTATACATTTTTTGCGAAATTATTAGATCTATTATAAAGATTCATCAAAAATACAAAGCACCCCAAATATAATAAAATTACATCAAAGTCCATGAACAACCGAACGACCATTGCTGCCGACAGAACAAGCCGCCGACATATTATACCTAAAAACCTACATTTAAGTTCAAGACTAATCGTCAACGTTGACGTGGTTCCGCGCGCATAGACACAAACATGGGCACACGTGCATAGACGCAGGCACATGCACACACACATACGCACACGCGCGCGCACATATGCACATACAAAAGTGACTGAGACGAAAGAAAAAAATCAGGCACCTGTTCATTAGCAAAATCGTTAAAATTCGTAACGCTAGATGGATGAACCCTTTCCACTCCCCCGTGGGAAATAATTCGAAGAATGAGTACCATCATCAAAATCATCAAGTCTAATTCCGATAAAGAACTGCTCCGACTTCACTACTAGTAATGCTTGCCGTTTGGGCTGCACAACAAATTCTCCACATTTAATCCCCGAGACGACGCTCTGCAACACACGCACTTCACCGGATCACCTCCACCATGGCGACGAGAGTAGATCCGACGATCGAGGTGAAGGTTTTCGTGGACAGGGAGAGGAGCAGGGTGATCTTCGCGGAGTCCGGCAAGGAGTTCGTCGACGTGCTCTTGGGCTTCCTCACGCTGCCTCTCGGCACCGTCGTTCGCCTCCTCGGCAAGCAGTCCCAGGTCGGATGCCTCGACGAGATCTACAAGAGCGTGGAGGAGCTCTCCACAGACTTCTTCAGAACCGAGGCCTGCAAGGGGATGCTGCTTAGGCCCATCAGCGCTGCGGCGAAGCAATGCTGCGACCTCAAGGTCAGAGTCGACGGCGCCAAGCGCGACGGGGAGAGGCCGGAGAGCTCTGCTGCAGCTGCTGCTGGTTCCGACGCCGGGGTTTTTGTCAAAGGCGACGTGAAGTTCATCGTCACCGATGGTTTCCTTGTGGCACCAGCATCGACGTCTCTCATGTTGACCCTTTTCGACAAGTTTGACGTGCAGGATCCCTCCAGTCTTGAGCAGAGGACTCTCGACCTTAGTTCAGACAAGGTTTGCATATCTGACCTCTGTTTTTTCAGACGCTTGCAATATACTGTCTTCGCGTACGTGACTTATGTGTGATCTATCTGTTACAGATGATTAGCCTGCTTAAGAGATCATTAACGTCCAAGAACGCTTTAACTGCTCACTACTTCGATACTGCTATGGCGTCCGATGATTCCGCCATTGATATCCTCACCAAGAACATGTATCCTGAACAAGGAAATGATGCCGATCCCAACCTGAACGATGTCAAGATAAAGGTTCTTCAGACGAAGAACAACTCATCAGTGCTGTATGCAGAAGTTGGTGCCAATTTTGTGGACCTTCTCTTTAGCCTACTTTGCATACCACTAGGATCCATCATGAAGACATATGGTAAGTGCGCATCAAAAGGATGTGTTGACAATCTGTACGGCAGCATAGATGGCAGTGCTCAGGAATGCATGAGATCAGAATGCCGGATCTCGCTACTATCCCCAAAGTTGGCACCCTTCCTTGGTTGCAGCACTAGTAAGTTGCTTCAAGTTGAAGAACAGGATCCAGGTAAGAAAGCTAACTGCGTATACTGATTATTTTCACCCGTAATTTCGGCAAGCTAGTTGTCCTGATTAACATTTCCCAGAAGATGCAAGAACCATAGACCATCCTGGATGCGATCCAAAATCACCAAATGAAGAACGTGACAGTGGAGAAGGATATGTGAAGCAGGAGGCTCGGAAATTTATGGTGACCGATGATCTGCAAGTTCTTCCTCTGTCATTGGCAAGCACTCTGCAGGTTGTCAGTGGAGCCAAGACTCAGAGAAAGGACCTCGTGGAGAAAGAAATCGCTCTCACAAAACCACAGATTGTGATTCTCTCTCAGTATATGCACATTAGGCTACAAATCATAAAACTCTCTCGGACCATAAAACCCCAGGTTCGCTAACTGAACCTTCAGGTTCTGGAGCTGCTGAAAGCTGCCTTGGTAACTCGCAAAGCTCTCACCTCTGTGTTTCTTCCTCGAGAATAAGAAGCTGCGTCACCGGAGCTATGGCTACGAGACCTACTCTTGCAGTTCATCAGATGAATAAGAGGAAGAAAAATTCTACCTTGCCGAAGTCATTTTAGCCCCTCGTTGAACGTGGACCATGAATGTTCTCTTTCGGTAGAGAAACAGTAGACTATGGATGCTCGTATGCTAAATCGTACGCATATCATAAATCCGTTGAACCTTTTTTTTAAGGAGGAAGACCTCCGCCCTCTGCATCTCGACGATGCATGCAGTCATTTTATTAATTATTCACATAAAACCTTACAAAGAAATACAACAGTAAGTTTGAATCCATCGTCTAGACAACATATGTCGCTACTTCTATCCAATTGATGAAGGGATGCTGATAGTCCAGGCCTAATACAACAGACCTCGCAACCAAACCTAACATCTAAGACCTGAGGCCCCAACCAAGCCACTTGCCGGGTACGGGGCACACACCGGTCCGGCACGCTCTCGGAGGCCGCCGCCGCCAACTGCCACCACTCCACTTCAGAGCTGTATGGACGCATCATCATTGCCCGGTCTAGCTGCCATCAACGTCACCACGGCGCCCAACGCCACCACCTCCCTACGCGCGAACTGCTGAGCACGTCGGGGTCGCCGCTGGTACACCTCAGCACCATGCCGTCAAGTACCACCAGCCAACACAGCCTGACGTCTTTGGAAGATCTGTCGTGCGTAGCACCTGCCGACTAGGCATGACAAAGCGTAGCATCTGTCGGCCAGGCATGACTTGACATCTCCACTGAAGCTCCGTGCAAAACGAAGCCACTCCACCTCCTACCTCTGACTTCCAGCGCCACTCCACAAACGATGCTCCCAAGAGAGAAACGACACCGAAGTGCCGCTATCGTTCGATCTGGAAAACCAGAACCTAGGGTTTCCCTCGGAGCAGCACGAGTGGGTCGACAGTAGTTACACGATGATGTCTTCATCAAGGTAACAGCGCAGAACGCTGCCATTGCCTGTCGTCGGCTCGGTTTTCAACGGCAATTCTGTCTCCCAACTCGCAGCCATGACTAGATGACGAATCTTGAGATCCGACCACCCAGCCTTTGGCCGGCCACCTCCGACGGAGAAGATGACCACCACCACCGGATGCACCGGCCAGATTAGATCTGACCGGAGGTGCCGCCAAGCAGTCCACCAGGTCCTCGATGCCGCCGCCGATCCAAGGCCGGATGACGTGCCGCCGCAGCATAGATCGCCCGCCGCGAGGCAGGAATGGACTCCGCCACCGTCGCCGCAGCCATTGCCGCCACTGCGCTAGATCGGCTAACGCCGCCACAGTCATCGTCGTCGTCGTCGCAACCGTCGCCGCCGCTTCGCTAGATCGGTCGCGCCTCCACGCGCATAGGGGGTCCGCACCACCCCTGAGTCACGGGAGCGAGGAGAACCCCCGCCACCGCCATCGGCCACCGGGCGCAGGCCGGTGGCGTCCTTCGGCGATGAAGGGATGGAGGGGGTCGGCCCCGACGGCGGTGGCTAGGGTTGGAGCACCATTCGTGTCCCCCGAGTGGGGGGAGGGGGCGGGGGTCAGACATGCAACATGGGAGGAGGTTGCAGCGATCTAAATCCGTTGAACCTAGATCTGCAAATTACTACTATTACCAACTAGCCGGTTGGTCTCCTCCTCTAATTTGGCTCTGAAGCCCAGACGGCTTTTCGGTGTCGTCATTAAGAAATTCTAAGGTACAACCTCTAGTATACAAGATTATCATGGGTTTTTGCCTTGGCACGATTGATATTAAACATCTAAACTACGTGATTCACTCCCTTATTCAGAATGTCAATGGTGCTGATAATATCCGCCAAATTAGACCTATTGCTTTAATTAATGACATGTTTAAACTCACAGAGGAAGCTTTTGCCACCCGGTTTGCCTCGATGGCTCATATAGTCATAAAGCCGCTCGGAAACAACCATCATTAAAGGCAGTTTCTCTGCATGATTATCAATAATGAGCTTAACACCATCATCACAAGATATTTCTAGCGAAGAGAAAGATGATGAAGTGTCCAAGTAATTGGAGGTGGAAACAGTAGAAAGCTCTTCATGATTTAAAATTGTGGAGCACTCCTCCATTAACTCTCCCAAAGAATATTATGTTCATCAAGATTGGATCCACCATATATATCTTCAAGTTTGGTCCAAGTCTCATGAGCTGATTTGCAACTTGTGACTACCTTAAACACTTCAAAGGATATAGCTTGATGAATGATAATAGAAGCATCACAATCAAGATATTTATCCCCAATAGACGGACAAGGACCGTCCTTTACAATAGAAATTCCTACAAGAACAATTCACAAAGCATTTGGGCCCATGGCCCAAAAGTGACAAAGCATGAGAATTCTCCATAGGTGATAATTTGTGCCATCAAAATCAAAAGTGTTGTTGTGCACTAAATCACAAGTCGACATCAATACTCTCTAGACGGTGACGCCTAATAAAGAGAGACATTGCTCTGATACCAATTGAAAGGACCACGATGTCGCCTAAAGGGGGGTGAATAGGCATTTTAAAAACTTCTATGAATTTGGCTTTATCCTGATGCGGAAATAAACTAAGAGGGTACTTTTCAAGCACAAATCCTAAATATACTAGCAATCACAAGTAAGTTACAGAAACTTACTTGAGCAATATCACAAGATATGGAAGTGTATGACACAAGTTAGCAATTCACACTAATCACAAGATATATTAATAGGAGCAAGTATGAATTGCGGAATATAAATTGTAGGCCTAAATAATCTCTATGAGTGAACTAGCCAACACAATATAATGAGCACAACAATATATAGTGAATGCAAAGTCAAGAGACCAAAGTAAACCACAAGTTGTTCTTGTATCACAATGTTCACTTCCTTGGAGGGAAGCTAGTCACCGTTAGAGAGGTGGATGTTACCACAAAGGCACACCAACGCCACGAAGGCTCACCCTATTCTCCCTTTGAAACAACACCAGACGTTTCTCAACCACTAGTGGTAGACCTTGAGGCGGCTTCCAAACCTTCAAAAACTTTCTAGGGGCAAATCACAAGTTGATTCCTCACTGGAGCACTTGTACCGTCTAGGAGTCTCCAACCTCCAAGAGTAATAAAATCAAGGGAGAAATGCTTGAGACTTGCTCAAATCATGAGTTCCTTTGGTCACAAGAGGGGCAGGAGTGGATCTATCGCTTGATTGGAAAATCTCTCAAGGACTCTCATGAATCTCTTCGCGATCTAAGATTTGGTGTAGGAGAAATGAGAGGGAGACACTTGGGTGTTCTAGGGTTCTTTTCGTTTGAGTGGTTAACCCTCCACCAGATTGATAGAGGGGTATAAATATCAAGGCTAGAAAACTAGTCGTTTGTGAGTAAGTGGTTGTGTCAGGCTGGACATTCGGGCGGAGGACGGACATCTGGCGGCTATGAAGTGTGGACACGAACACACACAAAAACAGGGTCAATGTACAGCGCCCTAACATCTGGCCTGCCATGAGGTCCCAGACATCCGAAGTGTCGGGCATCCGACGGGCGCAACCAACATTTAAACATGGGTTCTAGACATAGGCGGCCAGATTTCCAGGAGGATCCCGGACATCCGAGGCGTCCCCGGAGCCCGGACATCCGACCAACAAAAAAATTGCACATGCCCCGATAGTAAAACATGCATAACTTTCTCATATGGACTCCAGTTTTAATGATCTTGGGCTTGTTTTTAAGCTATTGAAAAAATCCTGGTCCTCACATAGATAACCACCAAAGATCAACCAGGGTGCACTGTATGCAGAGGTTTGAACATAGAATTTTGGGAACCCTTTTGGCTTTGGATAAAGATATATATGTATATGATCGGAGTGGAATTGTGTGTAGGAGACACTAACTTGAGAAAGTCCATCATGAAACCCTTTGATCCCCTCTTAATATTGCGGGATCCCTATAACTCAAGAATCATAAAATAGCTACACCGGATAGCCTTCGAAAATCCATTCTTGGGCATATATATTTTCCAATTGTTGTGGATCCATGTAACGACAACCAAACGTACTAATACCTTTGACTTGAGCATTCCACTTGAGCTTGATGTTGACATTTATTCTTGGCTCAAGATGGATGCATAACCTTCATCATGAGATTTGGTGAAGACTTCAAATAGCTCCCCCATAAGCCATGCGGGGATCATTTCATTGCATTCTATCTTCACATGTCCATCATGTGATCATCCACAAGATTCAAGCATGCAATCCTTTGAGATGCTTATCTTGAGCTTGCCCTTGTCAACCGTGATCATCATCACTTGATGTCATACTCTCATGGACACTTCGAATCTTTCTCTTGAGCCAAGACCATGAGAATCACCTTACCCATGTAGATATAGGAAACACATAGTATGTGTTCGTACATAGAGTGTAATTGACAATTACTTACCATACCACAAGATCCCATGTGGTACATTATTTGCGCTTGTGTGATGACCAACCCCGAGTTCAGTCTTTGATCTTCATCTTGGTCAAATTTTATCTTTGCTCCATGATTAATCGTGCTATCT